TTTTTCTTTTTAAATCTAAGATTTGAAAATGTAATACAAGATTACTCATAACCATAAGTTTGTCTACCTTTATCAATAAAAAAATCTCTACCGGGCAGTCAAATTAAATTTTTATGAGCGTTTGAAATTCAAATTTTTACAACATTGGATATTCACTCGATTTCTCATGTAGCGATTGCCTTATTTTGTTGTAATTCAAAAACGAATAACTGTAGATACATGAAAATTTCATTGAATATTTATATTAGCATTTCCTATACACCATACAATTTTGAAAATATTTTGACTCTTTTTGAGCTGTTTACGGACATTTTCAGTTTCCAATTTTTTTAGTTTTTATTCTATAAATATCAATAAAGTTTTATCTGTTGGGCCAAAAAGTGTAAAAATTTAATACAAGGCTCCTGATATATTGTTACAATATTAGTTGAAAAATATTAAAAATTCGTACTTACATTTTTTTTTTATAATCATTTAAAGATCAACTTTTTTCAAAATTTATCAAATTTAAAATTGAATAATTATTTTGTAGTTAAAAATTTATAAAATGTTCAACTTTTATATCTAAGGATTGAAAATTTAAAACAAGTTTCTACTTAAGTAGATGTATAACAAGTATTAAGTAACTAATGGCTATTGTGATATGATTAATTTTTAATTTATTAAAGGTACAATTGTTTTTTTAATACCATAGATGTGTAAATAATGTCTTATACCTAGACTGACATACCGTCTCCGCTCAGAATCTTTTTTCTTATACAATGATATTATATCATTGAATCCAAATTTAATACTATCTTATACACTGACCCACTTGTAACCTACTGTACAGCAGAGCATCTTTTTTATTTTGGTTCCAACCCTGCCAGACTTCAGGGGCGGACCGGAAACAGAAAATTTGGGATAATAAAATATTTAAAAGTTATCGTTCCAAATATTTTCTAGGTCCAGGCATGTGATCCCCACGTGCCAGGCTCATTTGTAATTATTTTATTTATACTCTAATAATATATTATGGTTCTTGTACTATGTACAATTTTTGTTATAATGTAAGTGTAAAGTATACGTTTTATTTATGACCGACCCAAATCAAAGTACAACGATCCAATCATAGGCATGCGCAGCCCGTTGTGGCAGATTGGGCCAATGATACTTGAAACAAATTATTTGAAACACTGTTATCTATTACTCACCGATAATCACCTACTGTTTAAATTTTAAGGTATAATAATATATATACAGGGTCAGTGTCGGCCTGGGATCTAAAGGGCCCATGAGGCAATTTTTTCAAAGGGCCTCTCAAAAATACCCTTTTAACTTTTTTGTTAACAGCTTTCACTGTAGTAAAAATGTTCAAAATGTTAACAATATCTATATTTATACAATATGTAACCACAAAATTTAATATGCATAAAAATTAATTAAATAACTTAACAGAACTAGAATATTATATTGTTCAATTTATATTAGTAGTCTTTTTAATAACTTGATGAGTTAGCCTCATCTTTAAAAATACAGGTCGGGGCCTCGGAGGCGATCGCCTCCTAGCCGCCTGGGCCAGGCCGACACTGTACAGGGTTATTCAAAATGATTCATCCGATTTAAAATGGCTATATAAAGATCTGACGCCATGTGATTATTTCTTTTGGGGATTTGTTAAAGACACTGTGAACATACTACCACTGCCATCAAATCTAGTTGAATTGAAAAATCGAATAACAACAGCTATGTAGTTTATGCTGCAAAAAGTATGGTATGAATTTGACTACTGACTAGATGTTATTCGTGTAACCAAAGGAGCTCACATAGAACATATTTTATAGATACAGTTAACTAAATTTGACATATTTTTCTTTTATTTAATGTATAACATATTGTTCTAAACCTAAAAAATAAAATAATATAAGCACTTTAAATCGGATGAATCATTTTGAATAACCCTGTAATTTTTATTCATAAGTAGAGCTAGGATTTATATGCATTTGCATATTATTTTCCTTAAGGGGCCGTCACAGTTACATTTGTTGTCTCCGTCTTACAAATGCTGAACATGGCAAATTGTCAACTCAGCAAAACAAAAATCCTATGTCATTGTCTAGATAATAATCTTACATTTAAATTGTATAAGAGGTCAAGAATGCTTATACCACAGAATAAGACAATACAACTATGTATATGATCTAAGTTGCCATCTATATAATAGGTATGTTACAGCTTGCAGGGAGGGCCACAGCCCACCCTATGCGCACGCCTATGGATCCAACCATAATGAACCAGAAATAATTTTCTTATAGCCCAACCAATGCTGATCTCTAATAGACACTGGACTATCACACTTATTATTTTAATTAGGAATCCAGTTATATTTTTTAAATCAAATCTAATTTGGTTTTACACCTACTCATACAAGTTGCATATTAGAATTGTGTGACTATATATCATACTATATATCAACTATTTTAATAATTATATAACTGAACCAAGAAAACATTCCTTTTACTAAAAAATGTTTTATTATATATGCAAGCAGCAAATACCGAAATACTGAATCTAAACATTGATACACAGGTTACAGAGTAAAAAATTTAATTAACAATAGGTTCCATTAAAGACATTAATTATTAACAAATGTAGGTATCTACATTGTTTATTCTTGTTTAGCTTAGGAGTACTGCCACATTCCACATAAGCTAGATGTTTATCGGTCTAGTTAGAACTGTTTATTATTTAGTCATATTATTATCAATGTGTAATAGATACATTTATTTTATAGAATTATTGATTAAGTGTACATTGTAAGTAATGATAATTTATACTTCTATATTAATTTATATAACTTCTATGAGTAAAGTAAAGTCTTCATAAACTATTAAGTTCATGGTTACGTATTACGTGGGTAGGTACTTATAAGATGGTAAGAAGGAATTCTACCAATCGCCAGTGTCTTCTATGCAGCTGTAAAATAAAAATAATTATTTAAGTATTTTTGGTGCCAAATATACAAAATATTTTACCATGTGCGGCAGTATTTTCTAAATATTGAAAAAAAATAGATTAAATTCATTAGTAATATTTGTAAATTTTAACTAGCCCAATTAATTTAATTGGGCTAGTTACATTAATTGAATTAATAATATTTACACTGTTAATTGCTATATAGGTACTATGAAAGTATGAAATATATAATTGTTTAGTTATTTTTAAACATCTCCCACCTGCATGTATTGTAATCGAATTTGTAACCTGTTGTACATTCTAGCTCTTCAACACATTGACATGAACAAATATCTGAATTCCATACCTTACTTGGTTTGTCACATAATATTTCTTCTGAATCTTTACAAAAACATCGACATTCTCTAGCATCATACACTTGCGAGGGCTTGCAGTCCTACGAATAAAAAGATATTGAATATTTTCATTTCTTGCTACTTACATATTTTCATTTATGATTTAAAAACATACTTTCTCTTTCACGACACAATCACATTTACATTTCACGTGTTGCTCTACAGTAATAATTTTCTTTTCTTTGAAAGTGAATGTTCCGTTATAATATTGTATAATGGTGACCTGTGGTTAATAAATTAAAGAAAAGAATAAACCAAACATTTGAATATTCAATTAATGTTTAGAATGTTTTAACTTTCTTCAAAATTGAGCATCTCTACTTTGGTCGGTTGACAAGAAACCAAAAGGCTACCACAACAACCACCACATCGCTTCACTCGTGTACAAGGTGGTGAATAGTATAAACTTGGGTTATCATCGTCTCTCAGGCTCACTGTTTGATTTTCTGTGGTGCAAGCTGCCGCTTTTGGAATAATTGTTGAATCTTTGGATTGTAAAGTGTAATTAAAATATTACAATAATATATAAAAATGTTGAATGATATGTAATATTGTCTGTACTGTTTTGTTAAATGTACCTATTACTTTTTTTTATCCATAAATATTTTTAGGTATATCTGATATAGGTAATGTATTTTTACTATAATTATGCAATTAACATTATATCTTACTTTGACCATCATTAGTTTGGTATTTTAATGCTTCATAAATATTGATACGTGGCATAAACTTCCAAAATAATTCTGAAACACTTTTAACCTGGTTTAATTCCATTATAATGTCCAACGGTATCTAAAACATCAAGATATTCCATTTTAGTACAGCCGTACAGGACAGTAGGACACAGATAACGATGGTAATATTATTTATTTACTTTAATTTTTTTATATTATATTAAACATTGATTATACTAAGTAAAAGGTCTATGATATTAAATTTAAAATTGCACGATTATCATTTGTTAATACTTAATTGTTAGTTATTAATTATGGTATAGTACAATAATATTATATAATCAGAGAAAATGTAAGTACATTTTTTTTGAGTTGAGTAGAATAATAAATTATCTTCTTTCCTTTATTTAGCCATTTGTTTTACAAATAACATTATTTAAGTGTTGAAATCTCCATTTTTTTGTACAAATCTCTTATGTAGTTATTCTAGAACTCGTATGTTATAAACTAAATAGAACATGGATTACCTATGGAAATATTTTTAAATTGAATAAAATATATTTATATATTGTCCCACGTTATCACCACTAAATGTTATACTAGTAACCAGTGAGATTTACTGAGATTTATTAATAAGTAGGCCTTCTTTATAAGTTGATGCTTCAGGCCCATGCACAGGATTTCTTCTTGGAGGTTACAAAAAAAAAAATATAAAATAGGTACATAAGTTATTAGTAAATACCTATCTATAAAGTGTTTTCATCAATAGGTTAGACCCAAGGCCGCCCGCATAAATTTTTCTCGGGGGGGGGGGGGGCAGCGAAAAAATAATACACTTACCATAAATTCTGTTTTTTATATCACATCGTAAAAAGAAATTATTTATTTATTATAATATAGTATACACGTATATATATTAATGTATAATATTATGTTGTTGTTATAAATAAGCATGTATAATAAAAAATGAAAAAAAAATAATTAATAATAGATAATTCATGACTCATTGATCATTCTTTTCTGAACACCACTTATATGACCAGCCATAGTACTCGCACCATCATATCCTTACCCAACTAACTTATTCAAATCTAATCCCCAACTTTCCAAACTTGATAATATTTTATAAGCTATGCTTTCGCCTTTCAGCATCCAATTTATCTAAAGCAATAAATCCAACAAAATCTTCTTTCAAAACCGGTTGACTATTTTCATAAAATACATATCTTAAACAAATTGAAAGCTGCTCTACACCTTGTATACCTATATCCATTGTTTCGTCAGCTAATACTAAGTAACATTCAGCATTCTTAACTCGGTTAAAAATTCCGAGCGGGCGGCCTTGGACTTAGACCACACATTATACGGAGTCTTGCAGATATTGTGTACATTAGCATTTGACTTTTAATTCGAAAAAACCAATAACTGTTAAGGGGATTGGAAGCGTCGATTTTCTGTCTTTGTCTAACGCACGTGCAACATAGGATTATAGACGTGTTCTATTTCCAACGTACCGATTAATCTAGTGAAGCAATAAGAATTCCAAAAACAGATTTGAATTTGTCGTCAAGTCTACTTGAGATCGAATTTCCCACATTTGTGATATTTTGATTAAAGCTTCTCCAAAAATTAAAATATGTCAATTTTTTAATTACTCTTTTTAATATATCATTTTTATGATTTTTGGGGGATAATATCAAAAATGTGGGGAAGTCCATCTCAAGTAGACTTGACGACAAATTCAAATCTGTTTTTAGAATTCTTATCGCTTCACTAGATTAATCGGTACGTTGGAAATAGAACACGGCGTCTATAATCCTATGTAGCACGTGTGTTAGACAAAGACAGAAAATCGCCGCTTCCAAGCCCCTTAACGACCTAGATGCAAAAATAAAGGTAATGGCGGTAAATAAAGTTGTCTCGTAAATTGCGTCTCACATAGACATATTTAACTTTCTTTCATACAATATTTTTGGGCTAAAACAATTTATTACAATTTGTGTTCTTTTTTTTCAAAAAAATTGTTTTGAAAAACGTATTCAATAATACCTAATTTATATTTTATATAATCGTAACTGTTCAGTTTTCTATAGTATGTTCAATGAACATTGTTCATACATGATATATCAGTGTATTACTGCTGAATGACTTTTCTCATCACGTCTTCACGTCTTGTAAATATATTTTTTTTCGCACATAAACTTATTGTAAATACCATTAGATTGTATACAATTTATATAATCCAATAAATGCCAAAAACAAAATATATATATATATATACATAATTTATATATTTTTTGAAATTAAAAGACAATTTGCAATCTACATAAATATTACAATATAGGTAGACGAGCTGCAAAATATGAAAATGTATGATGATTAAATTAACACGAATAGCATGATAAGGAATTCACCCATTGGCAACCTTCCTGGTTTTAAATTAATAACTCTACTAGGGCTTTTTATAGGTGTCTATTAGGGCCTTAACTCTACTATAGTGAGTATAGCTACAATACTATAACATAACTATACTACTGTATTATCAACTTCAGTCTGCGTCAGTGCTGGTGAAACGGAGGGGGATAGATCCTCCCATGACCTTTTTGGCTTTTTATCAATATTTATGATCTCATAACCATAGAAAACTAATAAAAGCTCATAACTATAAATTATATCTTTAATGATCCAAAAGTACATGTTAAAAAATCGTTCATACCCTTTCCTCCTCCATGATAAAATCATTTAACGTCGCCAATGGTCTGCGTGTTAAGATTGTTTAGAAAAGTGATGGTTCGGAGTTGGTGGACATATAGTATAAATTCGTAGAATGTGGACTGTTAAGAGCATTTAAATCTTTATGAAAATGTTTGAAGGTACCTACATTATTTGAACGAGCGCAGTAACTGAAATATTTAACGAAGTCGATATGTAAGGATTAAAACGTACTATGGAACGTGGAGAACGTGCTCAATTTTATTTGCTTGATCCTGAAGTAAATTTGTTACTATACCTGCTGGAGTTTGTATTTTGCATAATTTGCAATAGTGCCATAGTGGTGAATGGTGATAAGAGCTTAAAGCGGTAGTTATGCCATTGCCGGTATCATCACGATACCGCCTAAAAATAACCCCGGAAATTTAATCCCCGGAACAATTCTAGTTTAGAGCCCACTCGAATTTTTGGATTTTTTTTTTCGGATACCTATGTATTTCGACGAGTTTAAAACGATGGTGTAAAAATTAGAGAGCATAATGCATATAGGTACCTGCCCTTCGGGAATCTGGCACCGACTCTGAGATAGAATCTGAGGACGAATCCCAAACAGTTTTTTTTTTAGTTTCAAAATAAAATATAAAATATTAGAGTTGGTTTTACTTTTTGACAGTTTCCTTATATGGTTTTCAGTGTAAAAAACAAAAAAGTATTCCTTGACTTAATATGCAACACCTTACACCACCTCAAGTAGGTCACAGGGTAAGTTATGTTGTATAGTATGTATAGTGATAATACTGATAACACTAAAATAGAACTAAACTTCTGGGGTTATTAATTAGACAAATCATCATCATATTATGTATCAATAGAAGGGTGTCAGGCGTCAGTAGATAGAGATATACCAGAGCCATAAAAACATTTATCATTATAAATTTTGGACTGCAAGTACCTAGTCAGTCAGTCAGCATATCTATATAAAAGTTGGTATAGTTTGGTATATGGTATACACTATATTCCTACATTATTATTTATTATTAAGTAATTTTAAGAATATAAGAGTACAAGACTAACTAATAATTACTTCTGGATAATTTTTAATCTGATGACTATTTGAATTGATGCAATGCCCACCACAAGGTCCTTCGGGTGCATGTTTGTTGATGTTATTGATGTTTTTACTAGATGAATCTTTCAATAGTTTGATCTGATTTTTGTCGAAAGTAGCCGTTATTGTGATCACAATAAGTAATAGCCAATAATGAATAAATGGATGGTACGCCATTATGATTCGCGTTTCTAGAACTGTGGTATTTGGGTGAACTCTACATTAAATGCGGTGGATTAAGCCGCGGTAAGTGCTTATATTGTAATCGTATAGATTATTATGGGTAGTATGACTAAATAGTGAAGTTAGAGATAAGAATTGTTTGAGTGTTAATTGAATTATTTCCTTGAAAGTTTAATCATAACACGAATACGTATACGTATAGGTATGCACTATGCCATACTTACGGTGTGTCGGTGTACGGTGTACCTAAACCTATTGATACACATCAAGTACCTATGTACGCCGTACGGTTTCCTGTTTAGGTATCAAAATAAATGTGGGATAGTCATCTAGTCCTCCCTCTTTGACCTTTTAAAAAAATAAAAGATGGCATTCAAATAATCTATTGCCCAATGTTGATTCTGATATATAAAAAAAAAAGAAGGGATATTCAAAATGTATACACTATATTATGTATATTGTTCTATTATTACATACAATTATTATTACAGGTAGGTTGGTATGGTGCGGTCCATACACTACACTCAACTGCGGAACGCTCCGAGTCTTTGTAGGTATCGGCCGGTGTTGCTAGCTCCCGGATGGACGATCACTCGGGAATCGGGATTATTAGCAACAAATCCTTGAAATCCATACAAATCCATACAAAACGTGTATTAATGAACCGTTACTCCCCCTAAAAACAACCTTCAACCAAAAAAAGGTGGGTAAGTGGATGTCGCTCTGCTGTACTGTAGGTTACAAGTGGGTCACTGTATAATGGATGGTATTAAATTTGAATTCAATGATACAATATCATTGTATAAGAAAAACGATTCTGAGCGAAGACGGTATGTCAGTCTAGGTTTAAGACAAATTATATACATATCTATGGTATTAAAAAAAAAATTGACCTACCTATAATAAATTCCAAATTAATCATATCACATTATCACAATATCCATTAGGTACTTATAACACGTTATACATCAACATCAATAACAAACCCTGATACTATCATTGATATAATGATATATAATAGTACACTTTAGAAGTTTCAAGTAGGTACCCACGAATAATATTATATAATCACAACAAAATAACTAGGTTTTTAATATGTAATTTCGTCCAAATTTGAACATAAAATGACTATAAAAATAAACTGTGATTGTATATTTTTTAGATTTTTTGGTAAGAGAATTAACTACTTACGTGGAATCTTGTTTTAAATTTTCAATCCTTAGCTATAAAAACTGAACATTTTATAATTTATTAATTACTATGATTAATAATTTTCGAGATTTTGATACATTTTGTCAAAATTTCAACTTTAAATGCTTATAAAAAAAAACTGTGCCTATGTATTTTTAATATTTTTCAACTGATATTGTAACAATATATCAGGAGCCTTTTATTACATTTTTACACTCTTTGGCCCAACAGATAAAACTTTATTGATATTTATAGAAAACAAAACTAAAAAAAATTAAAAGCGGTAAATGTCCGTAAATAGCTCAAAAAGAGTCAAAATATTTTCAAAATTGTATGGTGTATAGGAAATGCTAATTTAAACATTCAGTGAAATTTTCATGTATCTACAGTTATTCGTTTTTGAATTACAACAAAATAAGGAAATCGCTACATGAGAATAATCGAGTGAATATCCAATGTTGTAAAAATTTGAATTTCAAACGCTCATAAAAATTGAATTTGATTGTCCGGTAGAGATGTTTTTATTGATAAAGGTAGAAAAACTTATGAGTAATCTTGTATTACATTTTAAAATCTTAGATTTAAAAAGAAAAATTTTTGCGAATTCTTAACTCAAAATAATTTGCTAATTTTCTTGATTTTTCCATATTTTGTCAATTTTTGAACTTTAAATGCTTATAAAAAAAAACTGTGACTAACGATTTTTAATATTTTTCATCTGCCTTTGAAACAATATACTAGGAGTCTTCTATTAAAATAAAATTGTATTGATATTTACAACCCCCCCCCCCTTGGGTACGCCCCTGAGACATATTATATACTTATCTATGGTATTAAAAAAACAATTGTACCTATAATAAATTCCAAATTAATCATATCACAATAGCCATTAGTTACTTATTACTTGTTATACATCTACTTAAGTGGAATCTTGTTTTAAATTTTCAATCCTTAGATATAAAAGTTGAACATTTTATAAATTTTTAACTACAAAATAATTATTTAATTTTAAATTTGATAATTTTTGTCAAAACTCGATCTTTAAACGCTTATAAAAAAATATTGTGCTTATGCATTTTGTATATGTTTCAACTGCTATTGTAACAATATATCAGGAGCCTTGTATTACATTTTTACCCTTTTTGGCCCAACAGATAAAACTTTATTGATATTCATATAAAAAAAAATTGAAATATGAAATTGTCCTTAATCAGCTCAAAACAACTCAAAATATTTTTAAAATTTTATCAAGTATAAGAATAATTGATAAAATAAACATTAATATTCGAATATCTATTCTTAATATATTTTTTAAGAACTATTCGAATACCTATTCTGAATATACCTTAGTTCTCATTTATTCGAATATGTATTCCAAATACAAAATAAAAGGATTCTTTACAAGACTGAAAATACCTCGCATACACGATACACAGTGCTCTAACCTCCAGCTACGGAAAACGTATCCATATGGATTAGAAAACCTTCTCTGGATAATAATTAATATCGTAACAAGGTTTCCCTTGACCGCGTTACACTACACATGACATGTAATGTGTAATTATAAGGAAATTCTTAGGGAAATTAAATATTTTATCTCCAAAGACATTTTGAAATTGATCAAAGGGTAAATCACTGGTACAAATTGTGTACCAATATAATATAAAAAAAACCTTACTTGTTAACATCGACCTGGTGAAACCTAGCTGTACCGTATTATCTAGAGACTAGAGAGCAGACGTCCAGTACACAATTCATCTTTAAACATAACGAAAATTATGATTTATGAAAAAACGTAAAAAAAATTCTATTTTATGTTACACTGGTTGATTACAACTAATACGATAGTTGTGAATTTTTGAAATTTTAATCCGCTTCTCAAAACGGTCAGAAAACTAGAAAAGAATACTTTCTTATAGGGGGAGTTTGTATCTTTATTTTATACTTCTTAGTTCTTATGGACGTTCTGGATCTAACTGTGAGTCTTGATAACAACTATATGCAACCGATTTTGCGTCATTTTTTACAAATCGGTTGCGTGACTTTTGCCCACCCCGGTATAATGTATTATAATTAATAATATTATATACATATTAATAATTAATCTTTTAAATATTTCACTCAAATCTAAGGAATTAGGTATTCCGGCGTATAGTATAGGCAAAATGGGTACATATTAACCTGAGCGCAGTGAATGAAAGATGGCGTTTGGAATATTCGGGCTAGCGTATTGTATATACTATATACATTGAGCTTTGGGGAATTAAAATATATACTTTTACGTGACCCAGTCACATATGTTATACTTATGGCTCAAGATTCAAATGAGATTCATAAACGAGACTTTGGAAAAGAAAAATTATTATTTAAATTAAGGTTGGTCAACACCTACCTTAAGCAATGCTTTTAGTTATTATCACATTTTTTTTATTTTTCAAATTATAAAAATTAGATTAAGCAATACTTTTTCTTAAGCATCGACTATGAAATACGTCTCTACATTTTTTAGGCATTTTATTAGGTAGGTAGTAGGTACAATATGCAATTGCAACTAGCAGAATTTTCTGATCTATATAGTGTATGCGTAAAAAACTCAGAACTCGAAACTGCCTTAGCATATAACTTCAAAATGAAGTCTGGCTATCTAATTTTGATTGTACCGTCGTTCTTAAATCGTTGAAGTACATGGGTTTTAAAAAGAAAAAATCAATATTCGTAATAGGTGCAGTAAACTAGTTATGCGCGTATGCTCAAAAATCGGAAAATAGCGAACTTCATGAAGCCATAACTTCGAAACTAGGTCCGACCGCCAAATTCTGACTTCACCATTGTTCTCAGTATAGTTAAATTACACAGGTCTAATAAAAAAAAAAAAATTAAAAAAAAGGGTGTCCGGTAAAGTAACAGAATTCCGTATTTTTATATGAAATATTGAAATATTTTTTTATAATATTGTATTTATTTTTAAGGGGTAAAATAACGACAACCACAACTACAACAATTTCGTGGGGAACTGATAAGGATTGGTCGCCTTTAGACCGGCGTGGTTTTGACCATAGTTGTCCCGTATTTGATATTATAATATCTTATTAGTCCGTAGGTCTAATCCCCATCTAAACCCCATGTCCCCGTGGCTGTGTGGCTTGCACATGACTCTAACCCACGGTTTAAGATAGACAGGTTGCGCATCGACGTATGTTAAGCTTACTGACCAAGTGACTATGCAATGTACTAACATAAACTGACTGACAGTAAGTGCCATCTAGCGTTGACGCCTATAAGTTTTACTAAATCGTGCTAAAACAGTAATTTTATTTTGCAATGATTTTAATTATGACTATTGTTAAGGGGCCTGCTCGCGATTTTTCAAATTTTCCGCAATTCTATAAAATTTGAAAATTAAATTTTATATTTTAGTTGCCACCTCAATTATAAGACTTTTCCACTAATCTACTACCCAATACCTATTTAAGGGGGGTTGATAGGGTGTATTATATCGGTCAAAACACAGTTTACAGGAAAAACTCTCACACCTCGTAGATTGGTCCGATTTCCGTAATTTTTTTTTTGTTAGATAGAGGAATATTTTTTACAGGGCGCATTGGACTTCGATTTTTGATTACGTCGCTAAAAACAAAAAATAATACAAAAACTAAAAAGTTGTAAAAATTGATTAAATTCAAACTTGTAACATAAGACTTAGAAAAATAATGTTGAAAATCCAAGTCCAATGCGCCCTGTAAGAAGTCTTCCTCTATCTAACAAAAAAAAAATTACGGAAATCGGACCAATCTACGATGCGTGAGAGTTTTTCCTGTAAGGCATGTTTTTGAGCAAAAAAACAGGTCGCGTGCAGGCCCCTTAACTTATTTTTAATCTCTCTAGGTATCTCAAACCTCAATATTATTCACTGAGTGTCTCTTCCACTTTAGGTCTTTGCACATTGTCAACCATTTGCTATTCTACGAACTACAATATTAACGTTGTTTAATTTTATTACATACTAACTAGGTACATATTTACAACACATATAGGAAATCTTTTTTTAAATAAATCAACCAAATAAATTCGTTATATATTATATTAATTTAATTAGATACTTAAATAGTAAATTACAACTAACACAAAAAGAATAAACATGACATATGCAATTTAAATTATTTGGATAAGTAAGTGATTAAGAATTTATAATAATAATACTTGTGAAATACTGAAATCTTAAAAATATATTTAATTAATTAATCCTCTAATATCAAGAAATAATAATACCAATCTAAAAGTTAAACTTCTAATTTACAAAACACTCCTGAAAACCTATTTGGACTTATGGCATACAGCTCTGGGGTTCAGCAAAAAAATCCAATACCAATAAAATACAAGTATTCAAAACCCTAGCTCTTCGACCACTCTCCAATGCACCACTGTACTGCCAGTGGGCGGTTTCTTATTCAATTGTCCACGTCCTGTCTTTCTTTAGCACATAAGCTTATTGTACATTACTTGTAGGTATATATTGTTTATTTCTAATAAAAAAAAACGAATACAACAATAGTTATGATTAGACATTTTAAAAATTTAAATTTAACTATATATATACACTGTGTTAAATATTAAATCTACAACTCAATCATTTAATACTGTTTAAATTAATGTCATTCGACATTCAACTAGTCATTAGGACTGTTTAATCTAAATAATAATCAACTAATCAAGGTTTATTTGATAATTAAAAATTAATTTTGTGAAATAAAAAAACCGTGGAGCTTATTCCGTCCAGAAAGGAATTATTATTAAAACAATAATATACTATAGATTATGAATATTACCGCTAGATCGCGTTATGTGTCAGTAAGTTTTTGTAAGCGCTTTCTCATGCCACTTTTTTTCGTTCGACGCGCAACCAGTCTATCTTAAACCGTGCTCTAACCATTCCACGGACTGTGGCGTGACCATATTACCGGCAAGACCCGCATTCGGGCAGCTATTTTCATTCGCCATCGCCGCCGCCGGTGTTATCTCTTCGCAGATAGTGTGCCTCCGAGATAAGTATTATTATTATTATTATTACTATTTTAATAATATGTTCTATGTAGGTAGGTAAGACCTGGTGCCAGGTGCCGTAGTAGCCGTAGTGCGTACGTGCAGTTTGTGTTCGTGGTGCGTCCGTGGTCCATTTGCGAATTGCGATATTCATGTGTTTTTCATTCGGTCTGGTCTGTGTGTCTATGTGTGTACGAACTACGATCTCGAACTTCGCCCGTGTGTGCTTACGCTTGTGCGTGTGTTTGTAAGAAATTTGGTGGCGTGTGAATTGAATTTTTTAGTTTTTATTTTTCGTTTCCGGGTGGCAATCAGTTAAAGTACCATCAGAAGATTTCGTCTGTCGTCAGATCTCCCGGTGTGTGAGTGATATTGCATTCGGTATTTTTCGCACGGATCTACACCTGCGCGGCAATCGTCGTGACCTTAATGCAAAGCTACGACCAACAATTGTGAATCGACACGAAATCATCACCAGCCACGACGTGATCGAGTAAAAATAAAAAAACACTATATTGTCCGATCATTCACACTATCATGTGAGGTAGGTATGTCAGGACTGTAGGACACCCCGATGGTAGTTGTCGAGATTTCCTTTAAGCTTCATCAACAAATGTTGTGTAAATGTACTACAGGTGTATTGTGCTTTTTTTTCTCAGAATATGTCTTTGTAATGGGACGAAATCGAAATAGAAGAGCCAGCCACAGTGTTCAAAGTACCAATGTACCAATGTCCCAGCGCAGTGACTATGTTGATCTATGTCGCAACATTATACGCGACATGGATCTGTATGGAGTATGCGTGTTAGATAATTTCCTAGGTTATCAACGTGGTATGACTGTACTAGATGAAGTTTTGAATCTGTATAACATGGGAGTGTTCAAGGATGGTCAATTGGTTCGAAATAAAGCGAGTAATAATCTCAAAACTATACGAGGTGATCAGATCATTTGGGTTGATGGTCGTGAGGATTGTTGCAAACAAATTGGACAGCTTATAAGTGATGTTGATGCCGTAGTCATGGGATCAAACAAAATGAATGACAATGGTAAACTTGGAAACTATACAATTAATGGCAGGACCAAAGTAAGTTGTTTGAAAAATTCATTATATTCAAGAAATTGATGTAGGTGCAAAATAAAAAACTCTAGTCTGGACCCGGCTTTACATAGAATGTATACCTAAACTCTTAGTTTTTAATATTAATAGTATTGTTAGGGCATATCATATGTAACAATAAACATATAAACATCAGTTAAACTATGAAGTCATAAAATAAAATTATTTGGCCATACTGCCCTCACAAGCTAAATCACTGTAAGTTGTTGAAAAATTCCAGGTACTAGGTAAATATGCCGTAAAATTGCATAACTAGAGGTATTTTTACTGCATTTTAGCTTAGTCTGCTGTAAGAATAATAATTTGCTGCATAATATTGTAAAATTGTAATAATAACATTAATATTTTTGAATATGTACCTTTTAAATATTATAAACTTCTGAGTACTGACTACTGTAATAAAACCCAAATAACTTAATCTATTTATATTTAATAAAATAATAAAATATAAAACAGCTTATACCAATACTATGGAACAATTTAAAAACTATAAAACCTGTTTTTGTACAAGACGTTTGAAAGTAACTTGCTCATTTATCTTATGACAGCAGCATAGGTAGTTATTATTACCTAATTTGTTTAAAATTTACTTGCATAAAAATATTGACTTCAACATAGGTATTTATAACTATTCACCCAGTACTATGTACCTACTATTACAAGTTTTTACAAATTAATTACAATAATTACAAATATGTGCAAAGATTACATATTAGTTATTAAGGAATTCTAACTCAGATATGGATAAGTCTTGAGGTAGTCACGGTTAGCTAAGTTTGTATAAAAAAAAATATAAAATATAAATATATTTAGCTAAATTAACTCGTTATTGACCGCATCCTTTTTTTATCCTTCATTGGTCACGTGTAGAGAATTTATCTTACTATGTAAGTATTGATCACCAAACTTCTATATTCTACTATAGAAATATTACCAATTGATAGTCAATTACAATTTTGATTTATGTACAATTATTTTTAGATTATATTATATAACTAAATACGTACATGAATGCTTAAGGCAATACACCGATACAATAGGTAGTGGTAACTAAACTAAAGTATTACCAAGGTGAGAAAATATCTCACCATGCTTCCTATGACTGGTTAAGATTACCATAATATAAATACATTTAGGTATATTGACATAATATATAGATCTAAGCAATAATCAAGTTAAAAAATCCAATTGATGAATTATTTTAAGTTATAAAACTAAATAGATAATTTAACCAGCTACTTTTATTTTCTGTCACTATTTAGTAAAAAGGCTTTTTTCTTTTTTAAAAAAAGTCACCTTTTATTTTAAATTCATACATAACTAATATGGAATACTTTTCTAATAAGGTTAAGAATATTCAGGACCTGCTTAAAATACAATTGACTCATTCGAAAGCACAGGGCGCCAAAATGAGAATGGCCAGAGGCTTCTAAATTTGATTTTGAGGAGGGTTGATAGGCGCCAAAAGTAATTCTTGCACTGGGTGCTAAAAAAGCTAAAGACGGCCTTGTGAATATGATGTATGAACATTGACAAAGTTTGTGGGCCAATTGCATGTTCAATCTTGTATATCCTATATATAGCTGATTTGAGATATTTTACTTTGATTAGCAAAAGTAGTCTCTTTTCAGTTTAATTTTATTAATTAGGGTCAAGGACATAACATCTCCTGTATCCTGATTGTACTTACTACCTATCACTTATGACTTATATTACCGAAGAAAATATTATTACAAATATATTTTTTTTGTCATTTTCTTTTGTTGGAATAGAAAAAAAAAAACATTATTGTATTTCAAATTAACAGTTAGGTATATGCATTGAATAATTAGCTATCCTGCTTTATTTAAAGGTATTTATTATTAACTTTTACATACAATTATATTACATAAATTTATTTTAGGCTATGGTCGCTTGTTATCCAGGACATGGATCTCATTATGTCAAGCATGTAGATAATCCAAACAAAGATGGTCGATGTATTACTGCTATATATTATTTAAATAAAGACTGGGATATTAAAGTAAGCACTCAAGTAAAATATTGGTAGACATCCAAGATTTATATTTAGTCTGGTTTATGAAATTAATTTTGTTCTTATTATTTATTGTTTTTTTTTTTCATGTACTTTTGTAATGATTATAATTATATTTATATTATAAATTAATAAAAATTAGCTCTTAATAATAGGTAAATTATTTGCGATAAAATAAAATTATCATATTACCAGTAGACCAAATCCATTAGTGGTCTCATGTTTCTGATTTATTATTATATTTAATTTCTTGTAACATTTAATAGCATTTTTATCTTGTAATTGAGATTATACATAACATTGATAAACTAACTAAAACACCTCTATTCTATTATAATGCAGAAAAATTGATTCACGGAATTATATTCTATATAATAGTTTTCAAAATTAATTCTAATTAAAATATATTTGTGTTTAGATAAAATTGGTTAGTGACATTGTTTAATAGTTTTAGTAATATACACTTTTATAATCTAATATGATCTAATAATAAGCTTATTGTATTTATTAATTGTACTATAGGAAAATGGTGGCTTGCTAAGAATATTTCCGGAAGGTTGGAGTGATCAAGTAGCTGATATAGAACCATTATTTGATCGTATATTATTCTTTTGGTCTGACCGAAGAAATCCTCATGAAGTTCAACCAGCTTTTAAAACTAGGTGAATTTTGCATATATTATTAACCTTTACACCGTTATGAACATTTCTAAAGTATGTAATTGAGTTTAATCAATGTATTTGCATTGATTTGGTTTAGGTATGCAATTACTCTTTGGTATTTCGATGGCAATGAAAAAGAAGAAGCTGGAAGAAGATTTCAACATGCAAGTCAGTCTAATATCTGTTGTTACCAAAATGTTTGTTATTTATAATTTGTCAGAATAATTTTTTATTTTAATGTTATATTTATATATTTCAGGCGACTTAAATAGCATGCAAGTTCCATAGTCATCAAAAAATCAGAAATATCTCATTTACTGGTAAAATGGACTCTTGAATTCTGTACTGATCTTAAATAAGAATTTGTGTTACTCAAGGTGATCTGTATACAGATCAACTCAGTGATTTGATTAATGTTTTCAATCTGTGATTTAGTCTACTGACCCAAGTACAATTGATTCCTTAATATAATTCAAATAATTATTTTTGGATTTTAAATAAATGGGTCAAACCATTTAACCTATAAGTAGAAATAAGTAAAAAAAAAAAATACTTGGTATTTTTTTTTTAATTGTTGAAAAAAATATTTGTATATTTATAAATAAAATATAATAGAAAATAATGTTTTTTGTAAATCTAAGTATCACAACAGACTTGTATTTTAAAAAGCAAACTAATAAATTATTGTTATTATTTTAATTTGTTACCATTATGATGTATAATATAAAGTTGATAATACATTATTTTCTATTCAAATTTACGGTCATTCATAATAATATTATGTTCTTATTGGTTAAATTGTTTAGGAATATACAAGTATATTTCTGAATACTGAAAAATATTTACTATTCAATGTTCAACAAAATTAGTTTAGTCACTTATTCATATACCTACTATTTAATTACTTTGTGATATCTCAAAAAAATGTTTTCTCATTTACTGTTTTTTCTTATATATGGTATAAACAACACAATATAATATCTAATTATTTTGTGTTTCTTATAAAAATAACCTTATCAACTTCTTCAATAATCCAGTCTTTTATTTTAAATTTAACATTTTTGTTGTGTTTGATTGCTTCAATTTAAATAGAAGCATTTATATTACATTTTTGAGCTAAACAATTTTATCAAAATGTTATAATGTTGTACATAATATTCTCTTTTTGTGTGTATGTAAATAAAGGTATTTGTGTTTACAATTTTACAAAATATTTTTCTCAAAATTATTGCTGGAGTTTATGGTATTACATTGGTTCATTTCAGTCCAATCCATTTGGTTAGAATATATGTGTGGGTCAGTAGTATATTTAACCAATATGCACCACAGTATTAACCCGACTAATGAAAGAACTAGTAAACAGCTACGTTTTGGCTCTTGAAATTGAAACATTTCTCGGAAGTCAGGAAATCCCATGTGATTGCAAAATTTATGAGCCATGATTGGTCCTATAACATTTCCAGTGGAGATGAACAGCAGTGCCGAATATGCTCCAAATATTGTAGTATACATAAACTGAAACACTAGAATACTAATAATTATTAAGTGAATATTAAATGATCAATTTCAGAACATAACATTTTTATTATAAATATTAATTATTAACACATTCATCGCCGCCCTTGATTTCAGAAACGACGGAAATAAACATACTAATAGTCTGTCAATGGCCTATTTAAGTTTCAGTTTATTAAAAAAAATCCGATTTAATTATAGCGTTTATAAACGTATTCGTTTTTGATGAATTAATGCGTTACCGGCATTTAAAGTGTTAAACTATAACTCAACTTTGTCTAGTGAAATATCACGCTGATTCTGTGTATCCCTGCTATATTGGACCAGTTTAAAATTTAAATAGGTGAAAGTTGCACAGAAAAACTAATATAACAGAGTATATAAAGTAGTAAGTAACCCTGCTTCAGAATATTTCAACATTACTTAGGAGTGAAATCCAAGTATATAGTTCTTGAGTGACATTCAACAATTGAGTTTAAAACAATAAAATGTTTTTAAGAATTGAAAAATTTACCTGACATAATAAAAGCATCTAAACATGGTACACCCGCTCGCATCCTTTCTATCCATTGATTAAAATGAGCTAAACAAGATATATAATAAGAGTAAAGATTAGATTTGTAGTCATATTAATTAAACAATTACATTACCTGCACCAAAAAATATTGGACAAATGAAAATAGTGGTCATTGGCTGGAAACTTTGAAGTAATAGAGGTATAATGCAAGCTCTAAAGGTAAATTCTTCAGATATTGGAGCCACCACATAATTTCTGAGCCAAATTAATTCTGTTAACTTTGATTTTATATTTTCAATACCTGAGAATTTTTAATTTTGAAATTATTAAATTGCATTAGATATATTATTTTATTAGGTAAGCTTTTTAGAAACTTACTAATTATATTTTTTAATTGAATGTTTTTACAAAAAATTAAGCATATTGGACCCACGAATAATATACATGTTAAGAAGAGTGAGGAAGCTGCAGACATAAATATTCCATCCCATTTCAAACCTAACCAATACCGAATAGGTACCTATAAATATTTATTAAAATTTTTAAGAAAATAAAAACAATTTTATAAAAAGTATGTCTTACTTTAGTTTTGTCACTAATGAAATACCAAGTATATAATGGTGAAAATATTAGCATGAATGATACACTAAGAAATCTTTTCTTTATAGTCGATGGATGATCTCTTAGTACAAAAAACAGAAAACAAGTAATAAATAATCAAATAGGTTTATATAATTAAAATATTACTCATAGTTTTTGTTTATTGTTCATGAATAAATAAATTATAAAATTACCTAGAATGTTGTGAATTCCATACATATAAACTGGATACGTATATCACAGATAATAAGAGACATTCCAGAATGCATTTTATGTAAGAACATTGGTAATTTAATTTGTCTATATTCATTTTAGGAACAAAATTATAGTCTTGTCATTTTTTTCTAATATAGTGAATGTTGATGGTTAGCTATTAACAGAAAAATTAAAATTTGTGTAGGTATTTCAAAGAATTATTTATTAATTGTTTAATGTCAATTTATTTATTTAAAATGTTTTAGCATAATATTGACTTTATGTCTTTATCATCAACATTTTAAGATATTGAACATGTCAAGAGTAGGTATTGTAAAATAATGTCTTTCTTCTTCGAGTAATGAGTATATTGTGTTGGTGCAATTATCAAATACACAATTGCCCATTTTCTAGTTTAAATTAAACATTGGATTTTTAATTGATATACAATACACTACTGAAACAATTTACTATTTATAATTTAATGTTTTTAACTCAAAAGCTGTTTTGATGATTTACATTTTAGATGGTCAGAAATTGAAATTAGTATAACAAAATACTAATGACATATTTATGCAATATGGTTTGAGATTAATATTCCAGAATAATGTTTTTCAATAATGATGACTAGGAATCTAGGTCAACATCTCCAAACCAAAATATACCCTTCATAAACCTATAATAATAATAACAATAATAATAGTAATATAATATAATATAATTATAGTTTTTAAGCAATTGTTGAAAGCAAATAATTAATAAAAAATAATATAATATTATCAAAGCTCAGCTCATGGATCAACATGTTGTAAGTTTGTATTCACACATGCACCAATACTTATGAAATAGTTTTAATGTTCATTTGGGTTAAACACAAACATCCAACAAATTTGATATAAATTTCAAAAATGCGACTGGAAAATGTAGGTAACTAATCAACAATTGTACGAACTGGATCACTAGATCAAAAATAAAAATAACAAATTAAAACATTACTGTGAAGAAATATAATGATGTCAGGAGGGTAATCAGAATTTTTTTAATGCCATTGCTATTTGCTATTGAAGACATTTTAAATTCAATGTTTAATTTTCACAGACTGTACAATGTGTAAGTTTATTATCTAATAGATTTTATTTTAATGACAAAATCTGTTTAATGACTCAAAAATTATTAGTTAGGCTTAATATTTAAAGGTTATGAAATGACTAAATATTATATTGTATTAAATTCAGCTTTAAAATTTTTAAATCATTACTTTTAGCCTTTGGGCTTGCATTAAAATTGAAAACTATATTTATTATTGTTAACACTATAATTTATTAAATACAAAAAACAAATAAATTTTTGTTAACCTAACATTTATGAAATACAATGAGAACCAAATAAAAAAAAAGAAGGTAATTAATTTACACGACAATCGTATATGCGATTATTGCACAATTAGTTACCTTTTATGTGAATTAGTAAATTACATAAATATAGAATACTGAATAGTATGATTTATTACTATTCTCTCCTACAGTAACCCATAAAGTCAACGAGTAAAATCTTGTATTATTGTACTATTATTTAACTTTTTCGACTTATAACTACAATACAACTAACTTCAAAAGGAACATTCAAAAGTCAAACGGATGATAAGTGTCTCAATCCAAAATATTAATAAACTATACAGGTATATTATAGCGAATAACACAAAACACATTACCTAAATAATAGCTAAGGGCTACGATAGTCGATAGTACGATATACGATACTAGTATACTACGATAGACAATACTACGAGAGTGGCAACTGATGAGCAAATATAAAAATATGACAGGTGCGAGGTGCTATTTGTTATCAGCCAGTGATAAGTGTTATCAAAATATCAATTAATAATGGAATGTTTTGAATTCATATTTCAGTCTTCAGATTGGGGTTCAATTACTCAAATATATCATTTGATTGGGGAGGAGCAGCTGAAGACCCTTCCATAGTATTTTCTAAAAATGACTTGCTTAATATCAAGTACTACACTGTGAATTGGGGGACTTGGCAGAAATTTGGGGTCTTCCCCTTATTTGCGCCAATACAAATTATGAAAATAAATTAATTTCATTCAGTAGTCAGTACTCAGTTAGATAAGTAAAATATTAATAATGTTGCAATTGCGCAATATATAGTGTACTCGACGACTTCGTGTCAAACGTCATCAAGTAAATAATTCAGGTAAAAGTAGACGGAAAAAATCGTGTACAGTCCGAGTACAGAGGCCTCGATAGGGTGCGGACGGCCGGGCTGGGTCCGACGAGCGAGATCTGAAAAAAAAACCTAGAAATCGAGTGTAGAGAAACAAAAAATAAAACATTCGTTCAGCCGTTCGCCTGACGACGGTGCCGGAGATCCCCCACACGCCAAGCGTACCCGTACACCCGTCTGTGAGGCTGTGAGAGTGCGACAGTGCGACGGCGGTGGCGGTACATTCGTCTGTTCACTGTTGTCCGGGGTGTCACGTGACCGGTTCCGGGACGCGGCATTGGTTCGAGGGGCGCCGCTGACTTGACGGTACACGATGCGTGTGACCGCGTCCACATTATTTTTATTTTTTCATTAATGGTCGTCGTCGGCCGCCGTCGTTCGTCGCCGCCTTCAACGACCATGAGTGGGTGAGTGCTAGTGTCGGCCGCGCGGTACTCTCCCTTGAGCGAGGGGGTGGTAGTGGTTGTAGTATTTTATTGTAGTAATATTGTAGTAGTACTGTTGTAGTAGCAGCAGCGATTCGGTGGTGGTCAGTGAGGGGCGCGGCGGGGAGACTTTGTGTGGCGCTATGGTGCGTGCGTGCAATATACAGAGAGAGACACACACTTTGAGAGAGTGAGAAAGTGTTGGAGGGAGAGCGTGTGTGAGAGAGTGAGAGGTAGACGTTTGCCGAGATAGGAGAAAAAATGCCCGTGCGACTTCACCGCTGCCGTCGTCGTCGTTCATGACCAGCAGCAGCAGCTGCCTTGTGCCTCCTTTCTTTTGTTTCGCCGCCGACCCGAACCGCGAGAGCGTGTGCGTGCGCCTGTGTGCTCGTTGGTGCGTTCGTGTGCGAGATTGTGTGCGTGCGGGAGAGCCGAGTTGTGGTGTGTATATTATGTGCGTGTGAGCTACAGACTAGTGACTACAGTGACTGTGTGTGTGTGTGAGAGCGTCGTCGTCGTCGTCGTCGCCGTTGTCGTCGTCGCCGCCGCCGCCGCGTTCGCTTATACACACACAACTATTACACACACGTACGCAACGTAATATAAATTTTATAAAAAAAATAATAATACTTTAATATTCTAATAAATAATATTATTGTTAATCTATAGTCTAGAGTAGGTTTAGAGTGGCGGACCGCAGAAGCCAGTGTGTGCGTGTGTGCGTCTGACGTCTATATTTATAAATAAAATTGTGTACGTGTGCGCGCGCGGTGTCCGTATGTATCCGTCGTAGGTATTCGAGTTCGCGTGCAATAATAATAATAATAATAATAATAATAAATAATAGTAATCAATCAATTTTGTGATAATTTTTTTTACCCGTTATACCTTCTCAGTCGTTTCGTTTTATATATAATTTCGTCGTCCGACCGTACGCGACGCGTTTTAAAAATTGTACGAAAAACTTCCTCGAAGAGAATGCCGAGCGCATCGTTCAGCTCGACTCGTTCTTATACGCGGAGGACGAGGAGAAAAGGCTCCAACCGTCTACCCATACCGTCTAGGACGTCGAATTCCGGTGAGTACTTAGGTATTTAGGTACCTACAGTTTACCGCTTCGCCGGCGGTTTCCCGTTTTTCCCTGGAATATGGTGAGGGGGAAAGGCCCTTGGAGGTGCCCCCATGACAATGAGCCGCGTGCGACGGCCCAGCGAGAAGCGATTGCTTTCAAGGTAAAATGTGTTGCGTGTGCGTGTGCGTAAGACTTTCCGAATCGATAAACGGGGCCCCGCGCGGGGCCTTCTGGGTTCCGCCGCTTGGGCACCGCACAGCAATGGTAGTCTCGCTCTACCGACCACGGGATTTTAGGTCAAGTTTTTCGGGGGTGCTTAGTGTTATGGGGGCCCCCGCGGGTGATTGGTATGGCACTCGGGTGGGCACTTAACAGGGAAAGAGGAGGGGTGAATTAATTACCTGCAGAGAAATGGGTAGTTAGGACCTGGACTTTCCTGGGATTGTATTTGTGTGGTCCGCCACCAGTGCCTTTGTTGTGGCAAATGACCTGCCGTATCAATTGTTGCAAGATAGGTTGGTTGGCCACTGTTTGTTTGTACTTTATTTACTGGATTATCAGTCGTAACCTTGTAATATTTATTCTAGGCCTCGTACAGAAATAGGTACCTTCTTATTTAATAACTGTTGTCTGTTACCAGTTGTCTCTTAAATAGTTTACTACGTTCAAATCGGGGTTTAAATATTATAAAGATACTTTCTTAACATATTATGTTTTCTCACTTTTACTATTTTATACCATTTTATTATCTTGATAGTATTACCAGTACCTAATAAAATAATTGTTTAGGGTCCAAACAGAAGATAGATTTTGATGGCCGTCAATGCTATACAGTTTTTTTTATATAGTTGTAGAGTTAGATTTTAGTAAACAGACGTTTCTCACGGATGGTCAGTTCACCATGGTTTATTAGGCGTTAGCGCTGGCTTAGTTTTTGACTAGTGACTGGTGACTGGTCGGAAAAATTTGATTGTCTGTTTGGACCATTATTCCTCTGTTTATTCCTACCTATCTGGTATAACCACTAATACTTAATGATAAATAATTAAATTAGCAGGTAGCAGTGGCGTACCGACGAGGGGGGGTTTAGGGGTTTAAACCAAGTAAAATACGAATAATGATTTTTTTTATGGAATATTATATTTAGATTTAGACTAGGATCATTGTATATAAAATATGGTAACCCCCCACATGAATTCTGCGTACGCCACTGGCAGGTAGGTAAATGGTAATGAATAGGTAGGTACTTATTGTGTGTTTCAAAGATATTGTTATGATTCATTAATTTTACCCATAAATAATAACAAAATTATATTAAAATAGGTACTATTAAATATCTATTATTTTTCTCAAATAGGTACCAGTGTTAATTTTATGGACCTTGTTTTAAATAATGAATATTATTTTTTATCGATTTTTTATATGCATAGGTACATTTACGTAGGTACTTGTTATTCTATTTCAAGGAGATTTAATAAAGAAAAAGAAATCAGAGCTAAACCTTTTATAAATTACTTGTTCGTGGGCCAGGGCCTTGAAACAATTCATTTAAATCATTGAAGCGTTGAATTAAATACGTCTATTTAATAAAAAAATTAGAACCTGGGTAGGTACCTATATGAAACATTTACTCTAAAAAGGTTATGTTAATATCAATTACTTTTAAATCGTCTTGTAAGTTGTTACCTTGATAGGCGATTGTAATGATATTACATAGTTACCTCGATGACTACATCCATAATATTTATGTTTTAATTTGTAAAATAGTGTTTCTTAAAAATCAAATTTTTAATTTTAGTTGATGAAAATAACTACAAACTTACCTAGTTATACTATGTATGTTATTAGTGTTACCCATGATTATAATTAGATGTTTTTTTCAAATATGAATTTAGCTAATTGGTTTTTTTTTCTTAATATTGAATAAATAAGTGTACCTAGGCACTTACCTATCATTTTTTATTTATTGTTTGACACTTACTTTCTCACTAATTTCCTTAATATATCTTTACCATATCAAACTCGAGTTTAAACTACTCTTCAGTTATGATACTTATTGTGTTTATATAGCTACCTATTTTAAAATTGTATACCCGGCATTTTTAGGGTTTTGAATTTAGGTACCAGGGTAGGTAGTACTGCATTCCAATAACCTATTAAGTACTTGATTATTATTTATCACAAAAAATTCAAAATCAAAAGAATTTTTTTTCTTTAGGTAATTGATTTTAAATATACTTACCTAATAATATAATAAATTTTTTTTATTATTGTTTAGGTGGAGTTGTTGAAGCTGGAGTAACATGTGAACCTTTAGTTGCTGCAAGTGGTAGCTATGCAACTCCAGGAGGCGCTAGTACCAGTACTAGTAGTTTCCAACATGTGCCACCTTATGATTTACGTGGTCGAAAATCACCTTTACACTTACATGATGCTAGTACAGCTGGATTTAATGCTACAGCACCAGTTCACCCAACTGCTACTCGTCCTACATCACCTACAGCATCAGCTACTGCATCGGTATTGCAGTCAGCTGCTACACCACCTTTATCTCAGCCTGCTCGTAAACGGCTCAGGCGAAATACTTCTTGTACAATTACTAGCTCTGACAGTAAGTGATTCATTTATTTTAAACTTAATTAAGTGGTAATTTTACTGTTTTGTAATATTGGATCATTGTTTCTTGCATTTACATATATAGTTTTATATTAACTTAATAATATTTCATACTTTAGTAGGTAAATTACGTACAAGATAATTATATTAACAACATTATATTAATTTAGGTAGATCCTTATTTTTTAGAAAATATTAAATACAATCATACATAAGTAATATGTGTACAATGAACCCTTTTAAGAAAAGGAATACTCAAAAAGTTTCAATTTATAATTTTTATTAATTAGAAATCAAGTCTAGTTTGTACCTATTTTGAAAAAGTAGTTTTTCATATTTTTTAATTGGCAATAAAAAATATATTATTAGGTTCTTAAATTCTTTCTTTCAAATTTAATATCACAACTCAAAATAAGCATTTATAATATAAATAATTTATACTTTTGCTATTATTTGTTAGGTAGGTACATTTATGTCACTAAAAAAGCAAAATTATCAATTTCATGTGTTGTGATTAGGGCTCCTGGTTTCACATGTACCTATACTCTTTCACATATTCACTTGAATTTTTGTTATCAAGTATTTACGTCTTCACTTATGTAGTTCTTATTTTGACTCGTATAAGTTGACGATGATTTTCTCTACATCGAATATTATATGAATTAATAGATTAAATTAATTTAATAATCAATAACACAAAGTATAAACTATTTACTTTTAGGTAATGCATATCTGACGACCTTTTAGAAATCATTAGTTAACAATTATTTATTTTTGTTAAATTAATAACTATTTTTGATACATAGGTATAATAAATAATATAAATTTTCAGTTGATACCAATTAAAATTAGTCACATATTCATCTGAACAGCCCACGTATACCCAAGTGAATATGATTTTGATAAGTGTTAACGATATCCGTGTATGTTAGTATTCACAAAAGTAAGACCCCTAATTACGGTTAAAGTTTGGATTTTGTGGCTATTTGTTTTCTTTTCTAAGAGTCTAATATAAAGTTGAGTTCAAAGGTATGTCCGCTATAAATTTAATTCATACAATGTAGATTAAATAAATAAATTTAATTTTAATTTTGTAATTATTTTTTAAATGATTTTTGGGGTAGACTTATTTGCTAATTTAAAAACTGATATTACATATTTCTATATTAGCATTGATTATTAATAATACATTTAATAACATAGGTATTATTTAGTATTATATTAGGTTTAAACAAAGTTAATGTAATAAAGAGTATCAATGTAAAAATAAAAATTACACTAAAAAACTGTTTTTTTTTTTTACAAATCAAACAGGAAATTCAAAAAATGTAAAAATCTATTGAAACAAATAAGTAAAATATTAAACATTGTCTAGACTTTAGATATTTTGAGATATTTGTCTGCACAACAGACGTCATTATGGTATAGGTACATGTAATGTTGTAGTCTATATTTGTATGGCAGTCAGTAAAAACACAGAATAAAATTTTTTTTAAGTAATTACTACGTCCATATACAAAAATCGCTAGAAGAAAATCATTAAGATTAATTTAGGATTTAGAATTTAAAATTTAAAATTTAAATTTATTTAATGTATGTTATTTATCACAAACCTATTCACATTGTTATATTACCCCCTTTATTACATATCTTAACTTATTTTTATTATTGACTTGATAAAAATAAGTAAAGCTTATTGTTGACGTTGACTATCCCGTTTCATAATATGCTGGTTTTCAATATTGTATTCCACTCCTATTGAGTTATCTTAAATTTTGGATCTAAGCATCTAATAATCAATGCAGGAAAATAATCTCGTTTATAACTAACAGTAATACTATATAATTATTAATTTTTATGAGTTCAAAAAATTTGGTGCATTAAATTATTATCCATTACCTAATTTCACTCATTTTTTTCATTTAAATTTTTGTATTTGGATGTGTTTTTATGGCCATATTTTCCTTTGGATATTTTTATTATTTGTTTATGTACATTTCTGTATCTGGGAATTTTTGTGTATGGATTTTTGTCATCATGTCTGTATGTATACATGATACATATTTATTTAATCGTTTGTTGTATTAATATTGTTAAAGGAAATATTATTACAATAAGTAATGAATAGAATTATATTTTTTAGATTAAAAGATTATAATATTAACATTTAATATAACAAATAAATATAAATAAACAATTGTATGCATTTGTGATAATGCTGGTGGATTTTGTGTTTTTCTTCATGATAGATATTGGTTTTGAAAAAAAAACAATACTAATAAAACCAATATCACGTATACCAATGCCTAATTATTTGTGTGAATACTCTTTATATATTTAACATTTATAAATTATTAACATTATCTCACCTACTAAAAAACATTTATCTTCCTTCCATTCCTTTCCTCTTTCTTTAGTTATCAATTTTCATTGAAATTGTTATTAAATATCTTTTATATTTGTCTTATATATTTCTACATGCCAAAAATAAAAATAAAATTGTTCTTCTGGTACCTATTTCTTTAAATCAGTTACCTATTTCATTTTAAAATAAGATAATTGAAATAATTCCTACACTCTTTGTGAACGAAGGCATCCTGACACACATTAGCCAACAAACAAATATAACTATCTGTATTATTTATATAGATTAGGCTTGAAGTTGGAGAAGGTCCAAAGCAAGTATTTTAATTATATGCTTCTATAAAATAAATAATTTGAGATTTTTCCATTATTGAAACCCACTTGCAATTCCCTTTTCTGTATACAATTATATTTATTTTATGTTATACACGTCTACTTATATTCTTTCTAGTTTCTTTTATTTGAAAATGAAAAAAAATTGCTTCAATACCTAATCATTTTAAAATATATATTATAAGTTATTATTAAACATGGTCTAAATAAAGTTCCTAACTAATGATAGGTATATTTATGTTAGCTCCCCTAATATAAATGTATACCTACCACCAAAATGCTTGTATTAAATTCACACTATAATATACTGTACCTATTTATTTAATGGGCTGATTCTTAAATTGTTGTTCTTTCCTTATTTTTTATTTCTTACTGTTATTTTTAGTTTTTAGTGAATTTCCATAATTAACCGTTTATAGGTGCATATGTTTAAATACAAATTAAAAAAAATACATTTGATTATTTCAGATTCAAACTCGGCTGCCCATTATTTACAATGTGAACTGCCAGATGAGGTCATGTTGACAATATTCAGTTACTTATATGAACAAGATCTATGTAGAATAGCTCAAGTTTGTAAACGATTTCAAGCAATAGCTAATGATAATAATCTATGGAAAAGATTGTATCAAAGTGTATTTGAGTATGATACACCACTATTTCATACAGAAAATAGTCGTTTTGATTTTATTCCATTTGAAGAAAGTGAACACCATAATCCATGGAAAGAAAGTTTTAGGCAACTAAAAAAACGTTGTTTACATGTACGACCACATTATAATGGTACTGCTAAAGACCCAATTAGGAGAATGCCACATTTTGAAACAATTCAAGCCGGCTTAGATCATGCTGATGAACATTTAAATGGTGGAGCAAAAATATTTTTACATCCTGGTACTTATCGAGGAGAATTTTTGGTGATAGATTCAGATATAACATTAATTGGAGCTGCCCCCGGTGTGGTTGCTGATGCAGTAATTCTTGAAAGAGAAACTGAATCAACTGTAATGTTTGTTGAGGGTGCCAAAAGTGCCTATTTGGGACATGTCACATTAAAATTTACTCCAAACGTTACTTCAACTGTACCACACCATAAACATTTTTGTTTGGAAGTTGGCGAAAATTGTTCACCTACAATTGATCATTGTATTATCAGAAGCTCCTCAGTTGTAGGGGCTGCTGTATGTGTTAGTGGAGCTGGTGCAAATCCTAGGATTCACCATTGTGATGTTAGTGACTGTGAAAATGTTGGTATATACGTTACTGATCATGCTCAAGGAACATTTGAAGACAATGAAATTTGTAGAAATGCTTTAGCTGGTGTTTGGGTTAAAAACCATGCAAATCCAGTGATGCGTCGCAACCATATACACCATGGAAGAGATGTGGGCATATTTACATTTGATAATGGATTGGTAATCAGCAATTTTAAAAATAAATTATTCTATTTTATTTATTCTTAGTTTGTAATTCTTACAATTTCTGTTTTATGCTTAGGGATTTTTTGAAGCTAATGATATTCACAATAACCGCATTGCTGGTTTTGAAGTTAAAGCTGGAGCCAATCCATCTGTTGTTCAGTGCGAGATTCATCATGGTCAGACAGGTGGAATCTATGTTCATGAAAATGGCCTTGGCCAGTTTATTGATAACAGAATTCATAGTAACAATTTTGCTGGTGTTTGGATTACTTCGAACAGCAATCCAACAATAAGGCGTAATGATATATACAATGGACATCAAGGTGGAGTATATATATTTGGTGAAGGCAGAGGACTGATTGAACATAACAATATATATGGTTGGTACAAACATTTTCATAATATATTATAATACATAAAAATTAATGTTTGTCTAACTGTCTGGATATCCTTTATGCATTCCTAAACGGCAGAACCGATTTTGATGACATTTTTTTGCGTGTTGTTTGAGTGGTTCCTGGATGATTTAGATTAACAATTGGACCCGGTAGATGCAACCTGAGGAGGTGCTCAACCGTATTTTAGTATGAATGTTAGTTACAGAATATCTCTAGTTTGAACCCAATTCATTGGACCAATTTTTTGCAATGTTTTTGCATTTTTTTTTTTATACTGAGTACTTTTTTATCTATAGATACAAAAGTTTGATTTTCTTTGGATTTTAGTACGATTAGATTAGGATTTTGTATTAATTGATAATTTTTTCTGGACAATGAATAACAACCGTATTATATTCAATGCGCCATAGGTTAAATTAAGTAAAAACAACAAACCTGGTATAATTTTGATTCTTGAGAGTTAAACCATATACTTACGGGGTCTGCAATTTACCGCAGGTAGATTGCCTACCTGATAATATACTGCTCGCACAATCACCAGCGAATCTCACAGACAACACTGGTCGGGATGGCTATAAATTAAAATATAATTTAATTTACACTTTAAAAGACTTTGCTGTCGATGCCGGGTAATTCAGCTTGGATCATATAAATATAAATATATATTATTTTCAGGAAATGCATTAGCTGGTATTCAAATTCGTACAAACAGCGACCCAATTGTTAGGCATAACAAAATACATCATGGTCAGCATGGTGGAATATATGTACATGAGAAGGGTGCAGGGCTTGTTGAAGAAAATGAAGTATATGCAAACACATTGGCTGGTGTTTGGATCACTACTGGTAGTACTCCAGTTTTGCGCCGTAACCGAATACATTCTGGTAAACAAGTGGGCGTATATTTCTATGATAATGGACATGGAAAACTTGAAGACAATGACATTTTTAACCACTTATATTCTGGTGTTCAAATAAGGTGAGTAATATTTTTTTTTATGTAAACGTATTAAACAACATTTGAATTACATTCTTAAGAAGAACGGGGTACCCGCATTTGTTGTTTCCGTCTATACATATGACATACCAAAATTTTGCTTGTCAGTTATGATATTAGAGTAAATTTATATATTATCAAACTTTGAAATAAGAACATAATCACCGTGTTCTCTCGTTGTCTTGGCGACATTTTTTAATTTTAAGTGGAATTCCTATGAGACATGAGTATGTAGAATATAAATATTTTAACATGCTAATAATTCACTTCAAAATTAAAATATTGTAAAAAAAACTAGAGAACACAGATAATGTTCTTACTTAAAAGTTTGATCAATTTGATCAATCAAGTTTGGTCAATTCACTCTAATATCATAACTATACACAATATACTATTGAAACTGGCGAGCAAAAATTTGGTATGTCATACGTGTGTAAATTCATATTTTAATATTCTGAGTATTGAATGTATTGATATATGTTTTTAAAATTTTAAAATTTTTGTGTCATCACCATTTGTAAAAAAAGCTTTGGTATTTAACTCGATTACTGGTAGCAAATTGTATCTAGTTGATAGTATTTCAAAAGTAAAATACCTTAGTAATTTAAATAACAACCGGAAAAATAAAAATGAAGTTAGGGAAATTTTTGCTTACCGTAAAATGGGGTTACTTTGGTAATTATTTACTGTTTTATGACAATTTTATTTTTTATTTTATGAATAACTTCTGTAGTATAACGATAAAACTCTTAAAATTAAATCTTAGATACAGCTAGTTATGATAAATTTTTTAACATTTAAATTTTTAAATTTCTAATGTTATTTTATGAAATTTCAATCTTTTTAATATGCGTATCAAAGACCAAAATTACACAACATAGTGGGAAACTTTGATACCTATATTTCTTAATGTGATATCAAAGTAACCTCACATTATAAAAAAATTAAATCGTGGTACTTTGGTGAATAAAAATATAAGTGTATCAAAGTTACCCCACAAAATTAAGGTTACACCATTCTACTGTAACCAATTTTTGACAAAATTGATTTTGGTTTTTTGTTACCTATAATTCAAAAACAAATAATTGTATATTTTCAACAAATGTTTATATTGTCATTTTCCATACATGGTATAATTTTCATAATATTTTGATTCTTTTTGAGGTATGTACAAAGTGTAATAGAGAGGTCTAACACATAACTTTTGTTCTAATCAATATTTAAAAACATTTTTTGTGTATAGTTTATAGATGCGTGTGCTACAAGTGCGGTATAGCAAATTTTGTAGTGCTAAAAATAAATAATTATAAATTATAAATTTTACTAAATTATTTTTTGGAAAATTAAATAAAGCCAATTTATTAATCTTATTTTAATAAAAAATATTGATGTTAAAAACATTTGTTTAAGTCTTGTAGTTTATTTTTTACAATTTCTTAAAATATCAATATTTTTTTGAGTAAATAAGGTAGATATTTGAATCATCATAACTTTTTTTATACTTATTTTTGGTAATTTTCAGACATAAGTAAATCTTAAATTATTTATTATCAATATAATTTTCATAATTTTTTTTATACGTTCAACTTGTGTCAATTTTTCATTTATCAGATCTTTTTAAGACACTTTAGATATTAGACATTTTATATTTTTTTTAGTATTTTTTTAAATGAACTTGTAAACAATTTTCAATCTGTTAAAAACCTTGAACATTTAATACAAGGTTTCTCATAATTTGTTCATACTTATGTTAATTAAAAAATATCAAAAATACATACTCATAAATACATTCATTTTATTATAATCCTTTAAAGTTAAAAGAATGTTAATTGTATTTAATAGGTATGTAGGTAGTTAATTTATATATTAATAATATATGTGTGTATATATTTTTTTTAGAACTGGTAGTAATCCAATCATTAAAGGTAATAAAATCTGGGGAGGTCAAAATGGTGGAGTTTTAGTGTACAATGGTGGATTAGGAGTTTTGGAACAAAATGAAATATTTGATAATGCGATGGCTGGTGTTTGGATAAAAACAGATTCTAACCCAACACTTAAACGGAATAAGATCTATGATGGTAGAGATGGTGGAATTTGTATATTCAATGGTGGGAAAGGTAAGATATTTGTTATTTTATATTGATGTAAATGTAGAATGTTAAAAATAATTGTGTTAGCCTATATATTTGCCTATTTTATCATATTAATAAAGTAATATATATTTTGATCCTCAAAAATATTTATACAGTTTTTTAATTTAAATCACAAATTAAAATAATGAATACTGTAGAATAGCATTTATATTATATATTATAATAGTATGGTCGAGTCAAGACTGAATCATTAAACAGTAGTAGTGACGTGTTACATATCATTATGTACCCCTTTCAACATACATATTTAAACCTTAAAAATTGCTCGCAGATCTTTGGTGCCACACATTTTTTGGCACCCTAAAACACTTGCCCCATTGATCACCCACCTGGGCACTGCCTATCTGGACTATCCGACTATAGCTGATTTAATTAAATATAATCATTATAGCTGCTCATAAAATGTGTCTTATGAAGTTTTATATATATTTTTTCCCTTTATATAATTTTTATTGAAATTAATATAGTCCAATAGGGATATATTAGTTCAAGGTTGACAACATTGAATTAATGCTAAACTTGAGTTTGATATTGTTGCTCAAATATGATTTTACTGAGCCCGTCCATATTAACCACTCACCCACTTACTGGTTAGTTTCCAGTCATTCTTATATTGATCTGAATTAAAGCACCTTGATCCAACAATAATAGTTATTAATACTAATATTCTGTAATATTATTTAATAAGTAATTACTCAATAAAAAAAAAATATTTCAGATTTAAAATTTAAATATTTAATGTAATTTAATTTTCTGTACAAAATTGTACATAAAATAATTTCTTTTGATTTTTTTATGTGAACCTTCATTAATAAGTTATAATATGTTTTTAGGTAATTTAGAAGAAAATGAAATATTTAGAAACGCTCAAGCTGGTGTTTTAATTTCGACTCAAAGTCATCCTACATTAAGGCGCAATAGAATTTTTGATGGCTTAGCTGCTGGTGTTGAAATTACTAACAACGCAACAGCCACCTTAGATAGTAATCAAATATTTAATAACCGTTTTGGTGGGCTTTGCTTAGCCAGCGGTGTACAACCTATTGTTAGATGTAAGTAATTTATTTATGAGATATAATTTATGTTTTAAAGAATTGATACTCATTGAATATTTTTTAGGTAATAAAATTTTTAGTAATCAAGATGCTGTAGAAAAAGCTGTAGCTAATGGTCAATGTTTGTATAAAATATCCTCATACACTTCATTTCCCATGCATGATTTTTACCGTTGTCAGACATGCAACACGACTGATAGAAATGCAATTTGTGTAAATTGTATAAAAACATGCCATGCTGGACATGATGTTGAATTCATAAGGCATGATAGGTATGTCAAGTATACATAATATGAATATATTGAATAGAAAATATTTTATTTGGGTTATTAATATTTTCAAATCAGCAATAAGGGTTAGAGATTTAGAAATCTTTTAAATAAAAACAATGTATTTTTTTAGTATATAATCTTTTAAGACAGAACCATTATTATCTGATTAAATTACTACAAAACCTCTGTATTATAGATTCTTTTGTGATTGTGGAGCTGGCACATTAAATAACCAATGTCAGTTACAAGGCGAACCAACACAGGACACAGATACATTGTATGACTCAGCAGCACCTATTGAATCACACACTTTAATGGTGAATTAAAAAGTAAAGAAGACATATTAACTACTTCATAATAAGTAAAAAAAAGTGTATGTATCATATTAGGATTTTTAATTGCTAGTAAATAATACTTGATGGTATATGAACCAATTAACAAACCTATTTTATGGTTTATTATGTAACCTTAAGTATAAATGTATTCATTCCTTTTGTTCTTCTACTTAACAAAAAAACTTTTCGTTTTAAAACTTAATAAAACGTATAACCTAATATATTGTCCAATTTATTATTTCTAACTCGTGTATTATTTTGGATAAACATTTTTGACTGCAAAATAATGTGATTTATCATTTCATGTTATTAATGAGCCATTCAAATTTAAACAAAACATTGGCTGGCTGACCTCATTCTTAATAGGTAATTTTTTTTTTTATTCTTACTCAAATCAGATTACCTGAACATTACCTACCATTAGGCTTAAAACTAAATTATGGTATTAATCTATCGAGTCTGTTAATAAATTAACAAAACTAGGATTTAATTTGTATTTTTTTTTTCGTATTTTAATTATTAATTTCATTTTTCAATGTAAAATATAATTATAAATACAAATATTGATTTAATTTATTAAGTGTAATTAATATTAGCGTGTGTACTTTTTATAAATTGTGCAATATATTTATTATACATATATTTTTTTTCATATATATTATAATTTTTTTTTATCATTCTAGACAATTATTGTGTATTAGTTAAGGCCGTTTTGTGTATAAATTATTTCCATGTAACACTTAAGCTTTAATTGTAATGGTAATAGAATGTACTATGTCTTTATTGTTTATGACTATTTTTAGGAACATTTGAAACTCGACATCAAAAATAATTTTGTTAATAGAGTTAAAATAATCTAAAACATTTGTATTTGTTAATTTGTATTTGTTTTTTTTTTTTTTTTAGTCTTAATGTACATGTTTTAAAAATAATATCAACAAAATTTTAAATTTACAATTTTTTTCTATATATTTATACATAAATATATAATTATGTATATATTTATGTATATTTATATTTGGCATAATAACTAAATAAACAGCACTTAATGAAAAAGAAAAAAGAAAAAATGTTACCATAATCTCAAAATAATTTTTTTCTGTCTCCATTGCTCAAACCAAACAAATAAAGGAAAATGTTAGAAATTATAAAGCACTTGATGATTAATATCATCAAATAAAATCACAGGTCCCGTGTGCAATTTTTTTAGTGTTTAGAGTTGTTGTTTACGTGTTTGCTTGACATTTTAATGTAATGCATTTATTTAACAAAAATGTGTACATAACTTTTTTTAATTCAATTTTGTTTTTCTTTTTTTATGCTGTGTTGTGCCATAAAGTAATATTTTGTACAGGAAACACTCCAAACTCTCTGGACAGTTTTTTTAAACATTTTTAATTTGCTGTTTTTATTTTCATAATTATTTAATTTTTTTTTTCTATATTTCAAATGTATTTAAGGTTGTGATTTAATTTCAATTTAACATAATATTATGATGATTAATAAAACTAGTAAAATACTTTATTTCCTGATCTTAATTGATTGTTGTTTCACAAGTATTTATATTATACTCATAAACAATGTGTGGTACTGCTGCATTTGTAGATTCATCATTCTAGCACCCCTAGTTCGGAATTTTCGTACAAAACTTTTCAAGATTTTGTTAACGTTTTGTAATAATATGAAACCACATAAACTTTATCGTTACTTACAAGAATGTTCAGAATTCCAATTTTTGAAACTGGGGACTAGTGTGATGTCACCTCAGTAACTGGTACCTTTCAAAATTATTTTTTTGACTTGAAATATTCACAAAATGTAACCCACAACTTTAAAATGCATGAAAACTCAAATCCTGAAAAAACTGTTTCAAGTTGGGTGGACAATATCTTGAAGTCACGCATATAATTATGTAAATTGCATAACCAACTAATGTAACCGAGAGTACTTATTTATGCTCATTTAGTCAAATCATCCAAGATTTGATAGCCCAAGTCGAGAAATTGCCTTCCTAACCGATCTACACATACTATTTTTGTCACATCTCTACTGCTATCTGCCTACAAAAACTACACTTTCTATAATATACTGGTAATACATAATAAATTGTTCTTGATATATCTTTTCTCCAAATTTAATTTTATTATAATGTAATATAATAATTTTTTAATGTTGTAAAAGTAAAACCCAAAGAACCAATAATATGCTATCGGAAACGACCCTAAAATCAAAATATTTTCACTGCTCAAAATGGAGATGATAGGTCCGTCATCACCTTTTGCCCGGCTTTTGGGAGTAAAAAGGCTTCAATATTCTTCAACAGCATGTTTTCTGGTAGGAAAGTGAACTTAGTATTGGTACTTTAGGGGTCAAAAGTAAAAAATTCCAATAGTTTTCCATAGCGATGAGAAAAACAAACAAACAATTAAGGAAATACTTAGATTTTTACGAAAAACCAGTTTTCGAAAAATAGATTTTTTATTTTATTGTAACTAACAATAATAATCGTATAAAGATGAAATAAATGTTTCTATTAGTAATTTCTATGAACTATAACATTTTCGAAATATTGCGACTCATTTTGAGCTATTTTTTTAGCATATGAGAACATTAAGAGTTTTCTTAGTTTTTATTTAATTTTTGTCGATACAACATTTTTCACTCGGAAAAAAATACAAAATACTTGGAAATATTGTAGTAGGTACTAGGTACATACAACATTCCCCATAAGATGAGTTTAGTGGAAATTAAAAAAAGTTCAGTGTAAATCCAGAATAATTTGTTACGAGCGTGTGAAGTTAAAATGTTGACAAAAATCGAGAAAATTTGCAAATTATTTCGGGTTAGAAATGCCTAAAAAATGTTCTATTTACATCTATGCTTTGGGAATTAAATACAAGATTTTCCTTAAGTTTTACTACATTTAACAAAAAAAAAAGTTAATCGGAGAGTCAAGTTATTTTTTTACGAACGTTTGAAATTAGACATTGGATATTCATCCGTACCTATAATAGATCCAGTATCCACAACAATTTATCAAAATCTAGATTGAAAATTTAAAACTGATTCTCATTAATAGTTTATACTGTAACCAAAAAATCTAAAAAAATATATAAACAGTTATTTTTTACAGACATTTTAAGGTAAAATTTTAATTACATATTAAAACCAACAATAATGGTTTTAGTTATTTTGTTGTAATTTAAAAATATTATACTTGGGTATAATATGTAGGTGTATGAAACTTTTAGAGTAGGTAAGTATATTATTATATTTTATACACAATAACATTTTTTTTGGAAAAAATAAATTTAGCCTTCTGTTGTAGGTAGTTAAAATAAATTACTTCATAACAATTATAATACCATAAAATATACCTACTTGGTAATATTATAGGCAATAGGCTGAAGACCGTCTTCGCTCAGAATCTTTTTTCATATACAATGATTTTATATAATTTAACTAAAATTTAACACCATCCATTACAGTGACCCACCATTGACCGGGTCAATTTGACCCCTACCTACTGATCAACCACTTATTTTTTGATTGGTATTATAATTTATATTTTACCCCAACCTTTATAGACAATGTTCAAATTCCATCTTCCACGCAAACTAAATATTTAGATTTAAGGGGCTGGAGCTTAATCCATTCTAAGGAGTAAAAACTAGGCATTTTATATTTCAGTTTATATGGGTCTTGTGTATGTGTTGAAAGTAAATGAACATTATTGTGTGTAATTCGTAGTACCGATTACCTTATAGTGACCGAATAGTATGTACCTACGTCTGTCATTTTACCTACTCGCATGCACATGTCATAGTGGCGTATTTAAGATTTTGGAGCCCCTTTTCTTTTCTCAGTTTCCTTTTATTTATTGTCACAAAAAACTTTTAAGTCCCCTCTAATTTACAATTTTTTTTCTCTCAGTTAATAGTGCAGGGCTTGAAACAGGTATAAACCGTTATAAAACCGAAATCGAGAATAAAATAAAAAAAGAAACCGAAAAAAATTGGAAACCGGTATTAAATTCAATACCGACTCAAAAACAATTGGATACCTACCTGTATTATAATTATAAATAATTTTTGAAAGTTTACTTTACACAGCAGGCGATCGGAATCTCGATTCAGCGATTCAAAAAAATTAATAAACTAAGAATGAACGTAAATAGTCCAAGTCTTGAAACCGATTTTAGAAACAGGTATAAACCGTTATAAAACCGAAATCGAGAATAAAATAAAAACTGAAACCGACAAAATTGGAAATCGGTATTAAATCCAAAACCGAAACCGAAAAAAATTGAAAACCAGTGTACAAATCGAAACCAAAACAAAAATTTTTTCAATCGGTTTCAAGCCATGTAAAAGTGATAAATGATAATCCACAATGTATATTTCCCCTTATTGCATTTATGCTTCCATTAATATTTAGAGAACAATTTTATTTTACCATTAACACTCCATTTATTCCTAATAAAAAGTCAACCTTTATAATTAAGTAAACATATTATAATTTAGATTTTAGCCTTTTAGCCTTTTTTCACGACAATTTAATAAAATACATTATATATATATATATATGTATTATGTATATATTATAGGTATATAGAAATATGTAAAGAAATGTAAAAGATATTATAAGAAAGATACAGGTATTCACTTATCAGTTATCACTAATATAATTTCTCAACAAATCCAATAAAATAAAAAAATAATTTTGTTATAATCTCTAGAGACTCTTTGAGGACTCAGAATTTGGCGCCCCGGGGCAATTGCCCCCCGTCGCCGCCTCTAAATACGCCACTGACATGTCACTACATATTACCTTATACAATTACAAACATATTTTTCAAAAATACTGTCAGTGACTTCAATCCCCACGCTCAGTAGGATATTCCGATTTAAATTTGAAAGTAGATTTGAATTCTCCTCTAAATTTACTATGCTTTAACTGTCGTAAATTTATCATATTCTATATCAATGTAT